AAGACCTGCAGAGTGAACGTAGCCTTTGTGACCTCACTGAAAGCCACAGAGGGAATAATTAAAGGTTTATTACAGGTTTATATTATCCTGCAGTCAAAAAATCTTCAGAGTGTGTTCAAGATAATAAACTATTAAACACTAGGACACCCTCTGACCTTTTAGGTAATAAATGAAATAACATAATTTCCTTGGAGATTATTAAAGTGTTCTGATTCTGAAAACAAAGTTGTATCTCCCTCATATTAGAGTGTGTAACTGCTCTCATCCCCTGAGACTGAAAAGTGTTTATTTTGTCTGATCAGCTGTTTTACAGCTAAAACCTTCAGTGAGATTTTGGTACATTTGGCTCAATAGTTACTTTTTCACTTTCAGGTTTAATGTCCCTGCACGCTGCCTCCACCCTCGTCCTCTAACTGCATCAGTAACACTGAGTAGCACACTATGCCATCACAGTGCTTGACGTCCTGATGTCTTTCAAATCAGGGAAGATAAAATAAACATTACAACTGAAATAATAATAATAAAAAAGCTTTATAGATTGTCTCCAGAACAGAGTTAAGCACTGCTTACAGAGAGCTCACAGCTGCATTAAATAAATATAAATGACCCCCAGTTACACTGTGCTGTAAAGGTTACTAACAACACAATAAAATCCAAATGCACTAAATCACAGCAGGAAAATATGAGTAAATCAAAGGCTTTGGGACAGATTTACTCAACTAGACAAATTATTGTGTTGATGCAATTGCAGAATGAGCTTCTAACAGTGTGCTACTCAGTGTGTTACTCATATATAAATAAGTCAAATTTTGTTTGTGACACACAGTACAAGATGCAGCGACATGTCCGAACTGCAAACAGGCTGCAGACGTAGCCACCAATCAGTTTACTTCAGTAATAACCGTCATTCAGTCATGAGCAGCAGAGCTCAGAATTGATCCAGTGAAGAGCTGCAATATTACAAATTATTCCACCTGAAATCTTCACACCTGACCTGTATGATGTTGGATGAACACCAAACACGACTTAGTTACTGTGTCACATCGGTAAATGTGTGATTGCTCCGGTAAACAGAGAATACAGAAACAGCAGTTCTGTGTTACAGTAGGCTTCCATTACCATGACTGGCCTGTGTTACTTTTGTGTGAGATTACTTTGGAAGCACTCGTTTGTCTAAGCCAACACTGCCACCTACTGACAAAACTCAATATCGCCTTAGCGCCACATCAGGTGAGAGTAAATGAGCTTTTTCGCTCGGTACTGTGTCAAACGACTGTCACAACAAAAACAAAAAAAGGATGATGTGGTGTGGGGGTCGACCACCTTAAAACTACTTTGACAAGAACTCTGAAACTTGTTTTTAATGCTTAAAATCCTCAGGCTCTCCACACATTCAGTCCTATTTACAACTGAATTAGACAGATATTTAAATTTTGGTTTGTTACAGAGTCAACAGAAAGAAGTTCGCTGTGTGCACCCTGCTGAGAAAAAGACAGCTCAGCAAAGTTTCAACACTGCTCTAACAGCACTGAGTCGGTTACACACTCATAAAATCTCCCTCTCTCCTTCAAAATAAACACTCCTAGAATAAACTGTGATGAGCTTAAAAGTTCCATTTTATTCCTGAGATCTGAAAATATAAGGTTAACTTAGGTTTAGGTATTGCTTGTTTTTTTCAGAAGCTGAACATGATAAATCTTCTGCAACACTTTACAAGTGTTTTTAAATAAATAACAGATACATATAATAAACTAAAATCTTAATTCTGACTCGGCAAAAGCTTCCAGTCTCACAGAAGAACATAAACAAACTGGAAAACTAAATTATTCTGTCAGTTCCAAATAAAGTTGCTACTATAAAGAAATCATAGAAATGTTTATGGCCATGGAGTTGGTCATGTCCTGGTATCTTGTTGTGGTGTTACTGGTATTTGTGGGAGCATGTTTTCAACAGTTTACAGCACATGCTGCTCTGCTTTGTTATCAGACTTTGTTTAGACAACAGCCATGTCTGATGACACCGTCTCTTAGTTTTTTGTTAACATTTTCTGTCGTTTTGTCTTTTATCTCACTCACATTAGTGTTTAATACTCCAAACATTAGGGCGCTAATGTCTGATCCTCATGTGCTTTTGGCATCAACCTAAACTGACGTCACTCTAACTCTATTCCAACCACATGATTGGATCAGCACCACATTACTATCGCTGTCATTGGCCTTTCATGTTGTGTCTAAAAACATGGATGAAACGAGATCTATTAACTTTATACTGACCAAGTTTTATATTGCTGTGAATGAAAGTTTTTGCATGATAAATATTTTTAGTATTTTATTGTCCAGTTCTAGTTCTCATTTACAAGACATAACCAGGTAGGAACACAATGTGATGCATGTTTTGTTGTCTACCTTTTACACATTGTTAAGGAAACTAGTATTGGGTTGATTGGATTCTCAGCTCTTCTTTTTCCTTTTTTTTTTTTGCCTGCCCTGTTCATTACTTTAGCCATCAGAATTATTGTCTGAAGGCTAAGGCTCTTCTTTTTCCATGTCAGGTTCTTATACAGTCGTCTCTGTCCCCTCACCAATTACCAGATTGTCTATAAACTCTGATTTTTTTTCCAGGACTTCACGTTCTTCCTAACTGATCTCCTCACTGTGCTGCTTCCTAATGTTAATACTTTGTGTTTGTTTACCTTGCTGACTGCCAACCTGTGAATGACATCAAGCAAATGATGTAATGTATGAATCAACATTAGGATTCTGGACTTTACCTTGTGCAGAGTCACTCTTCTCTGTGGAAACAAAAAGGTACAAAAGATTCTTTTTATAAAAGTGTAGCAGACAAAGATGCATAAATATCAGAGAACATAATCAATTTGAGAAAATTGAGGATAAAATTGTGTAAACGGTTGAAATAGTGACCAAAATATACATTCA